TCCCACATAATCTTCTACCATGAACTGATTCCAACATCTAATTTGTAAGACATGTTGCTAGATTAATGGCGCTACAGACAACTATGGAAACAGTTATGGTGTCGAAAGGTGAGAAAGTTAAAAAGTGTTATGCTAAGATCAACAGCTGTGATGTGAAGAAACTAATCAAATTCATTCAAGAATATATTCAGTGCCGGATTTAGACCGGTGGAGGCCCATGGGCAGCCTCTTTGTGGAGGCCCCCTCATTATAACTACCCAAGAGGGTGGAGTGGCGAGTGAAGCGAGCCAAAACATCTGGGAGTTCGTGGGGCGCTGTAAGCCTCCCGGGAAAATTTTGAAATTTGAACACTTCTTTGGAGAATTTTGAAGCCATATGCTGAATATAGTTTTACGTGATGGAATAAATAAACATGAATTTTAAAGAATGAAAATAAAAATAATCCAAATGAATAAACAAACAAATAAATAAAATATCGTAATATATGGAGGCCCCCAGATTATGGAGGCCCCTGGGCAACTGTCCACTTTGCCCACTCCTGAATCCGGCCCTGAATATATTGGTAAAAATATCGACGATACTGATCACATGTTAGGTGTGTTAAGTGATGATATAAAGAGTGATATGTTGAGATATAAAGAGAGAGTTTGAGTTAAGTGAACATTAGGCATAATATGTAGCAGTTGCCAACACCGACGTTTATAGCGAGTCTTATATAAGGAGAAAGAGTAAAAAATACTTTATTCTATTATGTTTCCGTCTCAAATTTATATTTTTCGAGTATTTTAACCACTATGACCCCCTCCCTCCCCTCCCTCCCCAATTACCCACCTTATCTAACCTTTCTTAACTTATACAAATGTTAAGAATCACTTTTGAGTTTATGGATCCCTCCTCAATTGAACACCGAAAGCAACACCATCACCTACTAAACACCGAAAACACAAATAAGGTAAACTTTTTATGGTTTAAGGATTTTTATAGTTTAAGAAAGGTTAGGTCAGGTTTTCAAAGGTTTGTTTCTTGTTTTTATCGTATTTTACCCCATGTTTTCCCTCTACTCTAAAGCCACTTTGAACAACTAATATTGTGGATAATTACATCGGTCAAAATACTTGAAAAAATATAAATATATAAGACTCACTATAAACGTAAGTATTGGCAACTACTACATATTAATTATAATCTGTTAAGTGGAAATTAGTGAACTCAATTAAGTGAAAATAAGAACTCGGCGAAGTGAAAATTTGTGCAGTAATTTGGAAAAGGTGAGCCAAGGAACTCTGTATTGATCTGTATAGTATTGGAAGACAGCAAACAAAAAATGGAATACTTTATAGCATTGTCGTCGGAAATTTGTATTTTATGAGTTTTTCTGATTTCGATTCCAGGTTTAGTTGTTAAAGTTCCTTGTTTTTTTTTTTTGATGATTTGGTTAGATTTACTCACAGCGGTACAGAAGGGCGGTTAGGAGGTCAGGTCAGGTCCTTCTAGTTTCTCTGGTTAGGTTAGACATGTACAGTATACCGATATTCGAGTCATTGGGTTATGTTCATGATCTTTTGGGGGGGGCAAAGAACTATTTCCTCCACCATCCTTGTGAAGGCTCCATAACTTGGTTCATTAACCGGGACCCATGTTCTTAAATATTACGCTCATACAATTTTCTGCAAGAGTAAGGTTAGGTTAAGTTAATCTAGGTTGTTAAGTTTGGTTAATTGTAGTGATGTTAAGTGTAGTTATGTTAAGTGCAGTTAGGTTAAGTTAGTCAGAAAGAAGGCCATTTTAGTAACTATCATTGTATAGTCTGTCCACCACACATACACATTAGGCTGTTTTTTCCAGTAAACATCAACGTTTTGTCTACGGCTGCCGTACCAATATAAAATCCTGTGCCCATTTTATCTTTGGTCGAAATCAGAAAATAAAAAAACTCTCAAAATATACATTTCCGACAGTGAAGTAGTTGTATTTATTGTTGCTTTATCTCCCTAAAAACAAATCAATATGGAGTTCCATGATTGACCTTTTCTGAATCCTCACCGAGATCTTGGTTAAGTGAAACTAAGTGAACTCGGTTAAGTGAAGCTAAGTGAACTCGGTTAAGTGAAGCTAAGTGAACTCGGTTAAGTGAAGCTAAGTGAACTAGGTTAAGTGAAACTAAGTGAACTCGGTTAAGTGAAACTAAGTGAACTCGGTTAAGTGAAACTAAGTGAACTCGGTTAAGTGAAAATTAGTGGACTAGGTTAAGTGAAAATAAGTGAGCTCAGTTAAGTGAAAATAAGTGAGCTCAGTTAAGTGAAAATAAGTGAACTCTGTTAAGTGAAAATAAGTGAACTCAGTTAAGTGAAAAATAAGTGAACTTGGTTAATTGAAAAAGTGTTCTTGTTTAAGTGATCTCAGTTAAGTGAAAATAAGTGATCTCAGTTCAGTGATAGTTAGTGAGCTTGGGATGACATCACCAGCAAGAATACCGGTAAGTATTTTTACTATTTATGGTAATATTCAAGATGTTGTTCCAGCCTCAGCAGCTAACTAATGAAATTTCTCCATTGAAGATAAAAGCTTTATTACCTCAAGAACCAGACTTACATGTAGGAGGAATACAGCCGCCGCTAGTGTCAGGTTTACTCTGTAGTAAAGGTTCTTTTCTCAGAAAGGAAGTCAAACATTAGGTAAAGGTCAACCACAGAATTCCATATTAATTTGTATATTGGAAGATAGAGAGAGAAAAAATATCTATAGAGTTTTCTTCAGATTTTTTATTTTTTTTTTTTTTTACTTTCCGATTTTACTTATAAACTGTAATTTTGATCACAATGAGTGGACAGAGGTTTGAAGTAGAGGGGAATTGTTGGGTAAAAACATGCAAAAAACGGATGAGATTAAATCTAACGAAACCTAACTATAAAGGAAAATTTTTACTCGTGATATGTTTAAGAACAGATTACCAGGTTAAGGAGCCGAGTTAGGAAACTTTTCAATCGAAGAAAAGTTCTTCAGTTTATCATTAACACAGTAAATAGGTGAAAGGAATCACTTTCTTGATTTTTTTGCAACAATATTTTTTGGGAAGATGTGTTCTGGTTGTTTGTTTAATCTGTTACGCTGTTTGAGAGATTTTATCAGACGAGGAAGAAAAAGCTTAAACAGTTGACACTTGGACACCACCTTGTGTAAATAAAATAATCTCGGGGTAGAACAACAATCTGACTGAAAGGAACCATCAGCGGGGCGGCGGGTCAGGTGTTGCTCCTTCGTGTATGGAAAACTTCTTAACTCGTATAAGTGATTTGGCACAAAATGCACTCCTCTTCCGTACTATGTATGTTTTTCAAAGTGATAAAACTCTTATCATCTATGAAGAAATTTCGCTCGGTAGTTCCTCAGGTCAGCTCACTCCTGTCAAGTATTACTAAGCAAGCATACTAATCATACTATGGCAGAGTATCACCATATTCTTAAATTTATTTGGTGACAATTATGTCTTCCAGAAAGCTAAGCACAAGAATAGTGCTGTAGAGATGAACACTGCATGTAAATAATTGTTACTGTCAAAATGCCTCAATCAAGTATAATGTTTCTCTGTACAGACACAAGAGGCAGGACCGTGTAGCGTTATAATGTTGTTACTCAACAACAAATGTGTTTTAAAATGCCTAATAAGGTTAGTAATCACTCCACTCCATTAACAATAGCAATTATAAGAGATGAAACTTTTAAGTTATTAAGACCAAATGATGCTCTAGATGGTGTATGAAATAAGACTTTGTGGCAATGAAAAATTAAAGGGTTTTGAAGAACGAATATTCTCAGGTAATATTTTAAATTTTACAAATATACACAATATTAATAAATATCACACAAAACTTTTGTGAAAGAAAGCAACTTGGTGCTGGTGTGTAGTGCTGGCTGATGTACCCGACTGGCTGCCTACAGTTAAACGTTATAATAATAACAGGACAGATATTGTCTGTCTGTGAGCCTCTAAGGCTGTGTTCAGCCTCAGCTTCAAAACAGCAGTTAGAGACCTGAAATGTTAAACGCATATTTACATGGGTCCCAAGGTTGTACACCTTGGCTTTACTGTTGACCATGGATAGCAGATGTTCCGGGCAAGAACCAAATATCTTCATGGACTGAAATATGTCACAGCGATCGTAGGAAGTGGTTACCCATGTCAGGGAGGGCAAACTGTGACAGTCAAGGTTAGGTTGAGGTGGTTTACTTGTCTAAGGAAGGTTAGATTAGCTTAGGTTAAGTATTTAGGTTAGGTTAGATTAGATTAGGTTGAATTGGTTCCCCGTGTTAGGGAGGTTGGGATAGGTTAGGTAGGGTAATGTTAGGTCAGGTTGAGGTGCCAAGGAGGGTAATCTGTGACAGTGAAGGTTATACTGTATATAACTAACCTGAACAAAGTCTTGTTATATTAGTTTGATAATTTACAAGTTTATAATTTGCATTATTAATTGTTAATTTTTAAATATATGCAATATACAACACAGCTATTATCACTAAAAACTTTCGTACTTCGGTTATTGTACTAGTAATACAGTACAAATTTGAACCACGGTATATCTTAGCATTGCGATGCATTTCCATCCATTTGTAAGGTTTCGGTCTAAGGAAAATAGTCCTGAATGTCACTTTCTGCTGAATTAAAACAATTATCATCGATCCAAGTTATGGGAAAAATGAACCACAATTATTAATGCCCAAATTGCAGCTCGGATGCCAATGGTCAGTGGTCCCTTCCAGCTAGGATCATAGACTTGTTTTTTAATTTACTAGAATGTCACAGGCCATAAGAGAGGAGCCGCAGCCCTGGAGTTTTGGCATTACTTTAAAATTCTTAGTGATTGTTTGTTTCATCTCATCATGGCAGCAGTGTTAAAGTACAAGTACTGTATTGTGATGGGGTTTATTTCATTATAAGGTTCATTTTAAACAAGCATACTGTTGTCAATAATTGTTTCTAATACTGGTTTCTGGTTTTACAGGTTAGAACTTCAGAAGCGTCGGTGGTAAGTACAGAGTTCTGATTGTTTTTTATCAGTTTCACTCGGTAAGGTTATACTAGGGTGCAGTTTTAAATATGCACATCCAGATTTATGATTTGTGTTGGGGGTTGAAAACTTAATGAAATCCACTGAGACGAAATTAAAAGTTTCTTTAAAAAATATGGAAAATTAATAAGCTTTAATTTGATAGTTAAAACTTTCCTTCATTATTTTATTAAGTGGGATTAACTTTGAATCCTGAGCCTTGCTTTATGAGGGAGCAGACTTTATATTTTGTACTGCATGCATCCTACTAACCCTGCAGACCGTACAGTACCGGAAACCTAGCGGTGCTAACGTCAGGTACTGAGATAAATCAAGGCTTATAACACGGTTAGGTGAAGTTAGGTTACTATGTCTAGGTTTAATTAAAAGAATAAATAACATTTAGGATGTGGTTTATAGAGGTTCTGTAGTGGTTGCTTTTCAGATGGAGGTAAGGTTCATATATTTCAGTACAGTATATATGCATTTTTCAGGTACATATGGCATTCATATATATTTCTTTGTTCTCACTAAGTAATGATAAAATTATCATAATTATCATGAAGGTTATTTTGGTGCAGTTAAAGCTCATGTCTAATTTTTAATACAGTAGAATCTCAAAGTAGGTGTATACAGAGTACACGACCCTGATTATATGCGGTTGACCCCCTGATCCGCCCTTGTGCGAGCTACTCCACCCACCATCTCTTGCTAGACCAGTGTCCCTCATTATCATATAATAGAACTTCTTAATCATATTTTTTTCATCATCTATATATTTATTGTATCTATTTGATTATTCATTTTGATGGAGGAAATGGTTGGGCCTATTGTCAGAAGGGGTTGCTTATTAACTTACGACCATAAGATAATACCACACCTCGCCTAGGTATCAGTCAAATGCTCCTCTCTTGTTTTAGTTCTGTCAACATCTCCCAGGAAATTTAGTGGCAGTGTTCATGATGGTGAGAGTGAGAAAAATAAAAAAAAGTGCAAACTTTGAAAAGTTTTGAGGATGGGTCAGGGTATTGGACATATTAAAGAGTGGCGCATCTAACTCAGAAGTTATGTGATCCATCAAACACTTTATAAGACATGGTTTGTGGTGGCAGTGCATGCAGTTGTTTACCTTTGGGTAGGATTACTATAGTATATAAAATGGGATTCATGTTTACATTCAGGGGGACCAGAATATACATGAAATTCACTCTTATGTGAGGTTCCAGGAACGTAACACTCCCGTGCTTTGAGTCCTTACTGTACAATACAAATATATTTCAATGCAACATATGTACATGTTATTTTCAGATGAAAGATAATGTAAAGTTTATTTTGGCTGGAAGTAAAGGTTCATGTATGTATTTTGGTGCAATAGTTTTGTTAACATTATTTTAAGGATCAACAAAATAATATTATACATATGAATTTTGGTGTAACACTTATTTTCTTATTTTGGTGAAAAAAATAGAATCGTGTATATCTTTCTGTTCCGTACAAAAACTCTTTGGTTCAACCGGTCTTCGTCAGTTCAACCGGTCCTTGTTAGTTCAACCGGTCTTCGTCAGTTCAACCGGTCTTCGTCAGTTCCGCAGGTTCTTGTCGTTTCCACAAGGACTCAGAAAATCCCGCCATCAGAAGGACCTTGACTCCCGCCATTCCTGCACGCTGGTTCGGTTCATTTGACTTCCAGAGAACATAATTCATCATGTCATCGCCTTGAAGATTTTCCCCGTGGGATCATCGATGTGTGTAGGACTTCCTGCCTCAGAATATTCACATCTAGAAAAGAAGTCACGTTTTTTAAATAATTTTCACGGATAATTTGGTATTTGTGGCAATGTTTCAAACCAGAGGTCCATGTCCTGAAGGTGAGAACATACAGGAGGCGCCACCTGTTGTATATAAAGTTCTGGACAGCCTCTCTCTACAACACTGTCAACCCGCTCCTCAACCAAACAGATCCTGCAGCCATGGTACAGATTTACTTCAACTTTCTGATCAACATTTCTGTGATATTGTGGATTATAAAACTCCGTCATCTCTTGTCACAATAACATACCAGTGACTGTTGCTTCCAGGGCCTCCTGTCTGTGGTGATGGTGTTGGTGGCCGTGTCCGGCCTGTGTTATGGTGGTCAATACGGAGGATACGGCGGCTATGGTGGATATGGCGGCTATGGTGGATATGGTGGATATGGCGGCTATGGTGGATATGGTGGGGGATATGGTAAGTTGTGAGTCTCAAATGCTATGTTTGACTATAGTGCCATTCTTGTCATATTTTTGAAGGTTTATCAAGTTGCCTTAAACGTGTTGTGTTACCCCACAGGCGGGTATGGTGGAGGCGGCTATGGAGGACACTCCTACGTCATCACTAGGGGCTATGGTAAGCCAACATTAACACTGCTGTTTACACGTTATGTAAGGAAATTTATTAGTATATCTTGACTGTGTGTGTGTGTGTGTGTGTGTGTGTGTGTTTTAGGTATTATTGTCCGATTAAGTCTTAACTCCTTGACTACTATGTTAACCTGAGTACATTGAATTAACTCAGCGAAAAATATCTTAAACCCTTAAATACGACGCCTAAATTCTTTGAGTGTGATGACGCTACTCAGGAGGTAAGACCTTGCAAACTATCTTGTGAAATAGAAGTAATTTATGGGAGTATTGACTTTCACTTAAGACGTCCTTCAGGATCTTAACAAAAACAAACTTTACCTAAATTAGGTTAGGTTCGGTTAGGAAGGATTTAATATAGTGCTGTTGATATTTAGTACAAGTTTGTACTATGTTTATCTACATCATTACTGTTATATACAAATGACTTCAAGTTTTAAAAAAACTGAAATTATCTTTACGTTGTGCTTATAGTAAAGAAGTACTTCACCTGTCCTCATTAACTGGCGTTTATCCCCAGGTCACGGTGGACAGGGTGGTCACGGAGTGTTTGGACGACTTGGTGGGTTTGGTAAGTGTTTCATTATCATCTCTTATACTGTGTTGTTTATTATTGTCATGGATCACTTGAGTTACATTATTGTCTTTGTGTTTGTTTACTTCGTGTCATTCTGCTGTTGTGTTTGTTTACGTTCCTCAGGTAGTTAATACCCGCTTAATGTAGTCTTAATATCTCGTGGTAGAGGGGAGGAAAGAGGGGTATAGTGATCACTGTGTTTGTGTATCTGTCTGTACAGAGTCAAAAGTTGTCTGTTTAGGAATACGTTAACATAATTAACTCCTTTGCCAATAATTAATCGGCCGCAAACATAATAGTTAACGAGCTGATATTTTTATCACTGAAGCACAATTAATCACAAATATTCAAACTCGAATTACCTGAAAATTAACTTCGAGATTATATCACCATAAGATTAACCAGACTAATATTTATTGTATGGTTCTTCTTCAGGTAACTACGGCTGGTAGGTGATCGGAGGTAAGGGCCTTGTTCCACTGTCCTCTCCAACACAGCGCCTTGTTCCACTGTTCTCTCCACTACAGGAATAAAACAAATTAAGGTTGTCACTTGTTTCACAACCAGTTTTGTTCACTTGTGACTCCTGACTGTAAATGATAATAAAGTTCACGGGAATGAAACATAAGTCTTCACCCTCCTCCTGATGTTAGGTGTTGTGTCGAGATGAGTTGTTGGTTTATGATGGCCAGGATGGTGCTGGAGATGATTAACACAATACCAACTCAGACCATCTTTTGGTATCAGTGTTGACTGTTTTCGTGTTGTCACATGAAGAGATGATAAGACACATTGTTGTTTGGCTGAAAACCTTAAGTTAGTTTACTGAGGTGAAATATGTTTGTTGTTGACTATGCACAATAGTTCGTTATCTAGTTGAAATATAATGCCTTTAGTATTAAAGATCAGCTATTTATAACTAAAGTAAGTCATGGAATATGTCAGGTCAGGGAGGTAGACAGTTGACACACACCTGGGAGGAAGGTCAGGGCGATACACAAAGACACATACACCTTGAACTTACCAAACATAGAAAGTTGATAGCCAGAAACAAAAACAGCACCATCGCCGGGTTAAAGAGTCTGTCGAGCCTGGTGGTGTGGGTGATGTGGGTGGTGGTGTGGGTGGTGGTGTAGATGGCGTGGGCGGTGGCGGGCGGTGGTGTAGGTGAGGCGGTGAGGTGGGTGGTGTGGGTGGTGGTGTAGATGGCGTGGGCGGTGGTGTGGGCGATGTGGGCGGTGGTGTGGGTGATGTGGGCGGTGGCGTGGGCGATTTGGGCGGTGGTGTAGATGATGTGGGTGATGGTGTGGGCGGTGGGGTGGGCGGAAGCAATGACATCAAATGTTACAGTATAGGTGTAATGGTTGCTGTAGTCGTTAATTTTAATAACACATTGTTCTCGTCTTTACTTCACGGATCTTTACGCTCACAAGACATGGATAATAGTCCTTTTATTTTTTATACTTCCAACTTTTTTTTTGTGGGTGAGGCGTAGGATATGAGTGGGAGAAATGAGAGGTGCTCTATATAGCTTCTTGGTCCTTCAGCTCTTTACAACAACGCTGCTTAGACAAAGTTATAATCGATTTAGTTGTTGATTTTGTACAAGGTGAAGGATAGGACAAGATGCCTCTGTTAGTGACATCTTCAGCTAGTGTTGTAGAAGCCAGTGTTTCTTTTGCTAGATATTTACACACTTTTAGAGTGGTGAGTAGGATTATTGAACTCACACCTGTATGAGTCAATAGTCAACTTACACCTGTATGAGTCGATAAGAATCATACATGACATCGTTTACCCAAAGGACCAACCAACACTGTGACATAGACCATTGCTTTAACTTGTGATATATTATAATGTAATGTAATAAACCCAAGTGTATGTTTATCGGTTAAGGATTTAGTAAACAATAGCATAATTACCTTGTGGGGTGTGGGATGTTTGGTTCACACTCAGGATGGGATGGAGAAAGGAAACTCACAATTTGCTCTCTGTATACATGTTGTATTGAATATACAATGCAGCTTGGTGCTGGGAAGTGGCAGCGTGTTTACAAGCGTGATGTAGAGAGAGCTGGCTGGTGAGGGTGCTCAGAGGAGGACAGCTTGTGGGTCGCCATGCTCGCTGGCGGGAGCGAGGGCTGCCAGGCAGCGGCGGAGGAGGTGGTGTTGTTTGCTGCGGCTGTAGCTAGAAGAAGGGTGAGGTCACCACGAGGTCAGGTCTTAAATAGCGGGGGTAGGCGTGGCTTAGTAGTTGACCTCGTGATGCATGGTGGCGCTGGTTGACCCAGACCACGAGGCATACACTGGGGAATTCGCGGGGTCGGCTACTCAGCGACAAACAGCGTTTGTCGGGGAGAAATCCACTACAACCTAACCTAACATTCTAGTGTCGTGATCTAGAGAGAGTAGGAGTTCAGTCTCTGAACGTGTGATGTGTACAGCACAGTCGCCTGCACTTATATGGTAGAGTGACTGGTGAGATGTGTCAGCTGAGTTTGTTTAAATGTTATTAAAACTCCCAGAATGACCCTAAGGAACCTCACAGTAGTAACTAGACTAAGGATGCTAGATAAACATTCCACAGAGGTGCCACATCTCACAAAGCCTCTTCTGGCCTTGGTGGTGGTGGGGGGCAGCGAACGTCTGTGGTGGGATCCTCGCTGTCAAGGCACTGTTGGCCATTCATAATAAACTTCCAGGATTGTAAATTAATCTGAGGTTTATTGTATCCTATTATATTTACTGTATGAACTAGAGACTACGAAAGAGCACATAAACTTAAATTTTGTGTTTGTAATCTATAAACAAAAAAGACGAAAGTTATCATATATGACTAAACATAAAGTTGAAGGAAAAATAGCAGGCCACACAGTGAAGGTCTTTCGTTCAGGTGTGTCGCAAGGTAGTGCTGGGGAGGTGTGGGTGGGTGTGGCAGTGGCTAGATGTTCATGGAGTAACCCGTTAGGTATCATAACTAGGAACAAGATAATGTGACCAGTTCCAGTAAGCCTTCAGTCTAAACACGACGTTATTTCACCTCATCATATGAGGGCCTCAGAATCACAAGGCCGCAAGCGCCACCACGGGGAAAATCGAGTTATTAGTACCAACGTATTCTTGTGGAGCTTGGATTTGCGGCCTCGTCTTACTTTTATAGCAGCCAATGACTGGCGCATGTCACCCAGCTGAGCAAATGACTCAGCGAGTAGACCTGCTTCGGCCAATGGGCGCGCGTCTGGGACACATGGGCCGTGATGCATGACACTCGTGCATAAAACTTGTACAACAAATATCTTCAAAATAAAACAAACTCCACCTCGATATCTTTATTGGTTGTGGAGTAACAAACGAAAAACTTCAGGGGCTTGCTTCTCACTTTTTAAAAATTGGCATTGCGGCTTGTGATTCTAAGGACCTCATATACAACACAGAGGCCTACATATTCACTCTCAAACCCTTACATAGTTACTAAGGTTATGTTACTGTATCTACCTTTATGTATCCTTCCTCATTCGCCTTGAGGGCCTACCTGCCCAAGTGAGGTCTCAGGGGCACTCATCACTGCACACTTGTCCTCCTTGAACTGAGGAGTGGCAAACGTTCCTCTCTCTGTTGCTATGATTAACTCAATTATTGTCATTTATATACGGCCGCCTTTTATATATATATATATATATATATATATATATATATATATATATATATATATATATATATATATATATATATATATATATATATATATATATATGCTGATAACCACAAGGAAAGAAGAAAACACGAAGTTCCCAAGCGCTTTCGTGTAATTCACATCTTCAGGGGTGAGTACAGACTAGCTTGTGGTTATCAGCATATACCTAGATCACGCGCACCTACAGTGATTTACTTGCATATATATATATATATATATAGTATATATATATATATAATATATATATATATATATATATATATATATATATATATATATATATATATATATATATATATATATATATATATGTGTGTGTGTTTAGATGATAATAATAATAATTAACGGTTTATTGAAAGAGCATGGCAGCCGGAAGGCTGAAAATATGCAGTTACATTATTGGGGAATGGGTCTCTTGATTGACAAATAATATACAAGTAACATAAGTGATAAAAATATGATATATAATAACTAGGTTGGGAGAAGGTTATATTACAGGGCATTTCAACATAGTAACAGTGCAAATTGGTAAGATTGACTGTGAGTGAATACACTGGTTGATTACGAGTTATTGATATTTTTTACAATGGTTGGGACTGGGCTGTTCTTATAGCGAACAGTACGTGCTCGTATGGGCTGGATGCGGTTGTGGCGTCGAACAGTAATTAGCGGACGAGGGATCTCGGGTGGTAGTAGGAGCCGGTATCGAGAATGGTGCAGAAGCTTCTCACGAAATTTGCAGATGAGGTCATGGTGATGGTCAGAGAGAGCCGAGAGGGTCAGTGTGTTGAGTTGTTCTTGATATGTGGAGTAGGAAAGGGAGAAAATAATCTTGCATGCCCTCTTTTGGACTTTTTCTAGGTGTTTACGTTGTGTGGCATTTAGGGAGGAAAACCAGGCAGGGAGGCATAGGTGAGCTTAGGAAGTATGAATGTTGAGTAAACACTGAGGAGCTCGGGCGCAGGAGTTCCGAGGGACTGTTAATAAACTTGTAATTGTAAAATCAATCTAGTCATTGTCTACTAAAATAACCATTGTGCAACCTCATTCTAAATCCTAGGTTAGCTTAGTTAGCCAACAAACTCTGTAATATGTAAAACAAGGGGTGTTGTCCTCCTCTGGTTAACTCATTAAACTTCTTTTCCAACCTTTCCCCCCACGACTATATGTTGTGACTTCTCCATCCCTCATGTCTGGTTGTGCCTTGAGCCCCAGCATGCCTTCCATTCTTTCCCCACCTTCACCTAAAAAAAAAAAAAAAAAAACGGCGGAGGAGGTGGAGACGAAAACTGGAGGATTTGATAACTTCACTGACGTGTGTTTTCAATTTAGTTTGTTATCTACCTGTATAGTGACGCCGAGGAGCTTAGTGGAGTCTACAACCTGGAGTGTGTTGGGGCCTAAAGTAATGGAAGGGGGTGGGACAACGTCGGAGGAGAGGTTGATGTGCAAAACCATGGTCTTGGTATGGTTGATGGTGACGTGGTTGTTGGTGGCTTAATTTTGGAGACTGTTCAATAACTCCCAGAGGGCGGTATAGTCGGGAGCCGAGTTGTTTACACTGATCCCAATGTTGGGGTCGTCGACATATTTCCAGCGAGCAGAGGTTTCTCTGAGGGCTTCATTGATAAGCATAAGGAAGCATAGGGGTCCCATCTTGGTGCCTTGGAGGACGCCACAGGTGAGTGACTGAAAGGTGGAGACAGCCCCTCGGAAGCGTACAGCTTGGCGTCGGTCACTAAGGAAGTCTGTGAGCCATGGTATAGGACTTCTTCGAAACCCGAGGTCGATAGCTTTGTTGATGAGTAAACTGTGGTCAAATGCTTTGGTGAAGTTAATGAAGGCGACAGCCACAGACGTTTTTCGTTTTTCCAGATGGCGGTATATGTAGTCGAAAAAGCTGACTAGACAGTGAGTGGTGGAGGAAGTT